ATAATCATTTGTATGTGAGAATGTCCAAACATGTCTAAATTAGTGCACATGGAACTTTAATGTTGGTCGGGTGTAGATGCCCCAAGTACTCGTAAGAAGTAGATTAACCGGGTGAATGTTTTCGATGTAGAAATTTTATACCCCGCTCTAGGTAGGCTAGACGGGTGTGCGTCCCTGAGATGTAGCGAAACCCTTTGACCATACCATGATGCCTACTCTGAATGTATGTTTAACTTAGCATCCTTGTATGCTAACATGATCATCTAGTGGAAGCTTGTAGAAAAATATGGTTATTAGTGTGATACTGAGCTTGTGAACTTAGTGTTTGAAATTTGTTTTCGTACGTAGGTTCTTAGGAGGAGCACTTCAATGAGCTTATCGTGCAATCCGTATTCTAGACCGACATGAGTTTCAGAGTACGTCTTGAGTCTTCATTAGAGGGAATGTATTGTATATGGAACTTCTTATAATTAAGTCATAACTGTATTTTGAAATACTCGTTTTAAACAATTTGGATGTATTTTGGGGCTCCCTATTTTTGTAAACTCGACACAATGCTTTTGCTTTATGTTATGATGAATTACTTTAAATCGATGTTTTATTTGTTTCAAAAAGAAAATTTTGGGTTAGCAACTCTGGTGGTCTTATGTAATGTTATAGTCCGTCAATATCTGGGTCGTATCGAATTAGGATGTTACATGGGCTTTGTAAGCTCATGGTTCAGATCTTTTCCTTTCGCAAGTTATTAGCTTGAGTCGTTCGTGGAGCACCGTTACAACATGACTTCCAGCATCTCTTATAGAGTTCTGTACTATAGCTTTAGTGGACATGTGAATTCATAAGACCTAATTATTGTATTCAAATTTATAACTCTGAGTTTGTATTATTTTGGTTTTAAAATGTGTCATGGAGCTCTAGTTTATAAAATTGTTTTTATAACTATCATGTATGTCTATTTTTGTACCATATAATATATTTTGAAATAAAAATAAAAATGTTTTAAAAATCAGAGGTTGTCTCATATCCCAACGTGGCACTTTCAGCCCAATCAGGTTTAGGATATTACAACCCCAATAGCAAAATAAGTAGTGATATCCACATCTTCTTCCCAAAATTCAATCAATGTAATCAATTTTTTGACGAACAACGACAACCCATATACGACCAATACTACAAAGGTTTATGTGAATTCAAAACTATAGGATGAGCTATGGAGTTCGCATGAACAATTTTGAGCCTCCCATACAGTTCAATTGTAGTTGCAGTAACATAACCAACAATAATAAGAGTTGATCCAAAAAAACTTCTTTTGAGACTTATTAATCTCTTAGCACCAAAGAGAGAGATAATAACGAGAAGAAGAAGAAAGAAAGAAAGAAAAAAAGAATAAAGGGGGAGACAACATGGGGCATGTGTCTCTGTATGTCTTCCTCACTCTGCCAATATCGGTCAACCATGTCCCCGCCTCATCCCCTCCTACGGTCATAAAAAGATCTATAATATTACTTTGAATTGAAGTTTTGGTACGTTCTACGTCAAATGAATAAATAAAACCTTTTATATGTTTCATTCATTATTATCTACATTCATATTAGTGGAATTTGATGTTCCTTAAAGGTTGTTTGTTCGTTAAAAGGTGTTAAGGGTTTTCTTGTGACTTAAAGGAAGCTAAATTGTTCTTCTAGGTATCAATATCTTATCGTAGAATATTGATACAAAGCATTAATAGGAATTATTTCCTCATTTCGAAACTCATTTTGAATTTATTATCATTTTCAAATATTTCAAAGGTAAAATTTGTATCGATATATTAAAGATATTATCGATACTTATGTTTCATATTTCCTATGACTAATAATATTCCTTTTACTATTAAAATTGGTACATTTGATTTTCGGGCACTAGTTTTTGAAACGTAGTAGTTTGGTGTATAAGAGTCGAAAAGATATTTTTTGAGCATTAGTATTGGACACTACGTTTCAATACCCATAGAGCTTATATCAGTGCTCCTAAAGGATTTTGATATCAATAGGCCCATCATCTTTGAAGAATTAATGAATTTTGAACCGTTTTGATGAGAGTAACGATCTAGAACTCTCAATTTTGATAGGATTGATAATTCAATCCTCAATTCTTTTAACATCGATTAATTACAATCAAATAATCACGAGTTGTGAACAATTTTATCTTATATCAAATTGTTTATTAAAGAGTTGAATCAAGTGGTAAATATATTGATATTGTTTAAATATATCATTAATTTGAGGTCTTGTGTATAGAAAATATCTTCATTGGGAGAATCACCACCAAATTTTGGTGTGCGATAGAGACCAATCCAAATTAATCAAGATAAAATCTCAGACAACCAGAAAGGAGACAAAAGAAAAAAAAACTTTTATGAAATAAATTAATATCAAATAATCGAGAAGAAGAGCTTTGTTGTTGGAGATTGAAAACTACTTTGATCGGTTATGATGTTGCTTACAAATTGCATCATACTTTACCCGCACACACATCATTCCAATATAATAATAGGGCAGCAGGTAGCGAATTATATGTCGTAAATTAAATTTTGACATTTATAATTAAATATTACCCTCCGGACATCAATGTTTGGTAATTTATTTACTAGAGAATCCTATAAGATATTGCTAGTACACTAATCCATTAATGGGGTTAAAGTTCATAAGTCTCTTTTACATATAAAAAGTTTTATTTTAGTTTCTTTATCATAAAAAATTTTATAGTTGGCTGACTTAAATATTTTAGTTTAAATATCCTTTAAGTCCTTATTGATTTTATGATTAAGTAAATTAATCCCTCTCAAAATAAAAGAGAGTAATTTATTCCACATATACTTTAAAAATAAGTAAATAAAAATGATCTAGGATGATGACGACGACCTTTTTCATTAGTGCATGGTACACGTTTAATTTAATTGGATAAATTTTTCAATAAAATAAAATAAAAAATTATATAATATTTTATTAATATTTTTCATAATTTTAATGAAATTTTAAATATATTTATTTTAAAGTGTATAGGTTTAAACATTTTATGAAATTTTAAATATTTAAAAAATCAGGGCGACAATCAACTCATCTAGATCCTCCAGCAAATTTAAAGCCCAATAAGGAAGGCTTCCATTCAATTTCCATCAATCATCACTCATCAGCCTTCTCATCTTCTCTTTGCTGAGCAATTCGTTTTTTAAAAGTTGTTTAGTTGATCAATTCTCGATCATCTTTTGACATATTAACTAACTTCTAACTTCCTATTTCCGATGTACAAAATAAGGAGTGATGTATTAATCTTGGAGGCGATCATTCACCTCATTATTATACCGATCGGGACGAATTCGCATATAAGATAATAAATTATAATGATGCAGTAATATTTTCTACTTATTTATTTTGTTATCTTGTACTTGTCAATGTTAATCTATTAAATTTATAGTACTTATTTTTTACACATACTTCATAAATAGTGTATAAATTTTAAGATAAATTATACAAATAGTCCCCTGATTATAAGATACTATTTTATTGAGCCCAACGACTATTAAAAGCTAAAAAATAGTCACCCAACTATTCATTATATTCCAAAATCATCATTTTTCTGTTAAAAAATTTACAGAAGTCTGACCTGGACATTAAAATGCTGATTGAGATATGATTAAACCTTATCTCAAAGTCTCAAATGACTATTATATCTCAATTAGCATGTTAACGGCTAGCTCAAACGATCGTTAGTTTTTTTAACAAAAAATGACGAGTTTGGAACATAATGAATAGTTGGTAACCATTTCGTAACTTTTAATAGTTGTTTAACTTAAAAAAGCAACACCTTGTAGTCAAGAGACTATTTATGTACTTTACCCTAAATTTTATATTTCAACAAATTGCCAAATATAAATCAATTATAAAACTTATGAGTGTATTTGGATGATAAAAATATAAATGTTTTGAAATAAAAAAAACTATTATTAAGTAAAATTAATAGAGAATTTCAAAATTTATAATAAATTTCATAATAGAATTTTAGTAACCCAAATATATTGTTCTTATTTTAATATATATTTTATGTTTAATTTTTTAAAATTATTTATATATTTTAACAAATCTACTGATATTCATATTGCATATTTTTCGATTGTTTATTTTAGAAAATACTTTTTATTTTATAATTATTTTTTAAACTTGATAATTTTAATAACATAGAAAATTATAAAAGAAAATAGGTATCCAAATAAAACCATCATGAATGTTAGTATTTTGAAATGATGCATTTTAAAAATTTCTAACAGTTTGAAATTATTCATCTAAAAACACCTATAATATTTGTATTATATTTTTTTATTGAATTTATACTTGATGCATGTATAAAATTTTACATTTTCAACAACCACAAAATACACACAAAAAATAATAATGATATTTATTTTAAGGGTAAAATACACAAATAGTCTCCCGACTATAAGATACTACTTTATCGAGTCTCCCGACTATTAAAAGTTACAAAATGGTCCCCCGACTATAGGATGTTACTTTATTGAGTCCATTGACTATTAAAAGTTACAAAACATTCACTTGACTATTATGTTCCAAATTCGTCATTTTTTGTTACAAAATTAACGGTCGTTTGAGCTGGACGTTAATATGATGAACGAGATACGATAGTCGTTTGAGATTATGAGGTCATATTTTATTATATCTCAATTAGCATGTTAAAGTTCAACTTAGACTGCCGTTAATTTTTTAATGGAAAAGGATGAGTTTGAAACATATGGATAGTCATGTGATCATTTTGTAACATTTAATAGTCGGAGACTCAACAAAGCGTCGACCTATAGTCAGGGGACCATTTGTGTACTTTAGCCTTATTTTAAATGATTTATCATATATATTGAAATACCCTGTTCAATTGGGGCTGCCGTTCACCTCAACTTCCTACCAACCTAAAACATCTATATATAAGCAGGGCATAAAAAAACACTTAAATGGTTTTCTTCTAATTGTATTCCTCCATTATTCCATCAGTTCCATCCATATTCAAAAACAAAAAAATCCATCTCTCTTTGCTTACTTTCCATGGCGTCGTCTTCTTCCTCAATCAAAACCAATAGCATGAAGAAACCTCGAGCTCTAGTCGGAGCAGCCTCGTGGTACTATACTGTAGCCTTGTTGACCTTAATATTTATAGGTTCCACCAGGGCAAACTATGAAGCCGCAGATGTGAAAGGGAGGCAGCTACTGAACCGACCCTGTGATGAATTCTATGTGGTCAGAGAAGGCGAGACCCTTAACATGATCGGCGACAAGTGCGACGACCCTTTCATCGTCGAGCGCAACCCTCACATCAATGACCCCGATGATGTTTTCCCCGGCCTTGTTATTCACATCGTTTCTTCAAATGCAAGCAAACTCTAGATGTATCAAATTAATAGACTTGTATCACATTATATTATATGGACCGTTTTAAGAGGAGTTAACGCAAGATGATTTATGCTCCTGCAGACTGGAAATTTTATTCACTTGGAAATAAAAGATTTTGTTATTATGTTTTATGAGGTTATCTTTCTCTAGTCTTTGATGGAACAAATGATTTAGGGTTCTTACATGTGGTTCACCTCTTTCAGTTTTGACTGAGAACAACCATCGATGAGAAATCGATCATTAATTGGTATTAAAATTTTCTATCTCTGTAACATATAAAAGAAAAGAGTGAAAGTGAGTGGGTTTCATATTTTTCTCTTAATCTTAGTCTGAAGTTTGCAGTCCGGGTTGATTATCATGACTTCCCATACATTAATATATTAAGTGAATATGGTCAGTTAAAGGTAGATTTAGTTTTCGTAGGTCACTTGAGCCTGTTAAATTTCATGTCAGCGGATCATAATTTTTCAAAGATGTTAGATATTCGAAGTATTTCTTACGATAAAAGCCATAAGCGGCAGAAAAGTCTTAAATTAATTTGTTTTGCCGTAATAAAAAAAGCAAAGTTGGCTGCCCAGTCTATATTGTTTATACAAAAGAAAAGTCTTAATCTGATGTTTAAAATGAACCAAATATATATAATTGTTTAACATTTTCAAAACTAAGAAAACCCAGTGAGGAAATTGTGTCAAGTAGAATTAGATTTCTTAAGGGTTTAATTAATTGCTGTAAACGGACCAAACATTTATGTCTTCGAAATTTTCATTTATTTACGTTCTATAATTAATCCACGTATGACTATCTTTTACGCAAAAGAAAACGTGATGGAGGAATTATAGGGCAACCAGTAGAGAGTGGAATAGTGGGGTGGTGGATCCTTTTCTCTTGTCGAATTTGCCGATATATATGGTAATATTAAGCCTAGTGCCTAATAGGGATAATGTTAGAACAAATCATACTAGATATGAAAATAATCATGATTTAATCTTATCAAATTATTAAGAATAAAATATTAGATGCGGAAGAGTACTTAGATTAATTGATAGATTGAAATCTTTGAGTCTTTCTTTGGTTGTGTTCTTCTAAGAAAATAAAGTTCTCTTATGTATAAATTTTCTAACGAGATAAGAAAAAATACAAGATCATTCATTTTTTGGGAATCATAACCTCTTTATATAACTGATTTAAGAAGCAGTTATTGTATGTACTTATAACTTTGCTCCTCATCAAATTATAAATACAACTTTGATAGTATCTACATTTTTATTTCCATTACACTTCTAATACTTTATGAATTTATAACGTAATTCATCACTTAATTATGTCATATTTTATCATAATAATATACATTAAAAATATGTACACATAATTATAGATTTTAATCTAAAATATAATATTATAATTATTTTATAAATTTTAATGCATAAACTCTCAAATCCAGACATTTTATAGAATAGTTATCCACACCTAACAAAAATTAATTATCGATATTCATCACCTACAAGACAATGTTCGAAACCCCTTCATTTGTTTAAAGTTGAATGCGACTTGCTTTGCATACTTCAATATCTTATAAAGATTCGTCACCTACAAGACAATGTTCAATTTGCACATCAACGTTTACATACGTAATTATTTTTTTGGGGTAAGCTATTAAATACGTACTTTCATCTATTTTTGTGATTTTTATTATTTGTTTTTAAAAAAAATAATGTAACACCGTAATCCGGTCTAACTTGAAATTTGGAGGATTTCGGATATTACACGGAACCACCTAAGTGGATAGCCATTTTTTTTGAAATTGTTTAGAAAATTCATTCATTCAAAATATGATACAATACAAAAATTAAATATGTTTACAAAATATAGGGAGCTCCCCACAATAGTCTCCAAAATACGTTAACTAAAATTAGAGTTATGACTCAATAAGACAATAGGGTCTATGATAGTACATGCCCTCTACAATACTCGAGACATACCCTGATAAATGATCGAGTCTAGAAGCCCTGAATTTGGTAACGAGTCCTCAACATCACCTAAGAACCTGTGCACGGAAACGCATTCCATACGCTGAGCTCACAAGCTCAACGCTACACAAATAACCCAAATATACTACATGCATTTTGTCAACAGTGGTTTTTCCCCAGCATTTTTATAATAATAATAATAATAATTTTATATATTATATTATTTATATTACTTATACAGGCCAAATTACAAGCCCAAACGACCCAGTAAGTTACAAGCCCAACAAGCACCAACCTAAGACCCGATACCCAATACAGCCAAGCCCAATGCACTAACCCAAACTAATTAGGGTTTTTTTTGAAACCCTAGGGTCCTAGTCACCGTCGCCGCCACCACTGTTTCGGTTGCCCGATCCCGTCATCTGACAACGCCCATTTAAACCATCATCATCACCACCCCGCATCAACAATAAAAGAAAAACCAAATCAATTCAAATCAACTGCAAAACCCATTTAAAATTCAAAAATCCCAGAAAATCTGGATCTTTGAATGCATGTTTAGGGGAATAATTCCCTTGGTCGTAGTCCTATTATTTCACCAATTCCATTTCCAAACATAACTATAATGGGATATAAAAGAAAGAAATTAGAAGAGAGAAAGGTATTCGGGGTTTAAAAGAAGAAAAAGAAAAAATGAACGAGAAAAAAGAGAAGGAATTCGAGTCTAAAAAAGGGAAAAAAAACAACAATAAACAGAAAAGAGAAGAACGAATTCGGGGCTAAAAAGGGAAAGACAAAAATCAAGAGAAAAAGGAAACGAAGAAGAAAGAAAAGGGAAATCTTACCTCTATCTTTAACTCACTAGTGACGAGAAAACTTGCCGAGCAACAAAAAGGTGACCCATTTGTTTGTTTTAGGCTTCGGCTTGGAAGAGTTTTAAGGCATAAAGGTTTCGATTTAGGGGGTCAAGGAAATCGGAGGGTCATCTTTCGGGTGTTATATACCTTTGTGGCTATCGATTTATGGTGGCCGGTCTTTGGTGTCTTCTTAGGCGGCGTGTAGGGAAAAAAAGAGAGTTTTCATATTAGGGTTAAAAAAAGGAAAAGGAAAATGACAGAAAGGGGAGGACAGGCCGAACGACTAGATAAGAAAAATGAGGAGATAGGAATGACCAAAACCCTATAATAGGGTATTTATAGGCTCCCCAAAATGACATAGTTTTGGGGGGTTAGGGTTTCATCGGTTTAACGCGTGCAAAATTCATGTGGGGGCCATTTTGGTTTTTAGAAACTTCAATGTAGTCACTGATAAGAGTTTTCAAGTTTACATTTTAAGCTCTTTATTTTGTTGGATTTATGTTTTAGTCACTGTATGTATAATTGATGTTATTTGGGTAAATTATTCAAATGGGTCTTTAAATCTGTGAAGTTGTGATTTTAATCCCTTGTAACATGTTATTAAAGTTTCTGATTTTGGCCTCTATGTTTAGTACAGATTGCATTTTGGTCACCATAATCTACGCACTTTTGATTGTTTTAATTTTCGGCATGTAATATTGAATTGTCCAATTTTGGTCCCAAATATATGGGTTTATTACACTTCTAGTGCTTGTAATGTTTGATTCTTGTATTATATGATTTGTTATTTATTTTATTTGCAATGGTTGCCTTGATTTCATGTTGGCTTTATGATTTAATCCCTAAAGTCACCATCTTTATTATTTTGATCTGTCATTTACATATTTGTTAATTTCTTGCTAATTGTAATATTTTCAAATATTATTTTGCACCTGGAATTTATAAAAACACGCCTTAACTGACAAGGAGTGTGTTTCCAAGAATTGGTCAAACAAAATAATACCTTTTATATTCGAATGAATTTGTTTTTTTTTTATATATATTTAATATATGTATTTTATCTAAAAATTAGGGTAATATTATTTTGTACGAGGAATTCTTGGAAATGCCCCTTAACTGACTAGGAAGGTATTTTTTAGGATTGTTCGTACAAAATAATATCCTTGATATTTTTTCTAAAATGGATCATAATTTAAATGTATATTCGAATTTGCCAATTTCAATACTTAGATGACGTATAATCGCTTAGGTATCGATTACGAGCATTGTGAGGGTGCTAATTCTTCCCCACACGTAATCGACTCTCGAACCCTTTTTCAAAACAAATTTCTGGTTAAACGCAGATCATTTTTTATCTTTTAAAATTATTTTTTTTAAAATTATTTTAAAATGTATTTTTAGGTATTCGACCTACCTAACCCAAAGGTCGATGGCGACTCCAAATCTATTTATTTGTTCTTTATTTTAAAACCCAACCTTTTCCAAGATTAAGCTGGATCGCTCCCTGTAATGATTCCCAAAAAGCTTAAGGACGATTCCGACAGCTTGGCGACTCTGCTGGGAACATAAAAGAGTCATATTGTAATCAATTATATGTCATCTTTTTTGTTGAAAATGGAAAATATGAATAATATTTAAATTTTGATCCTTATGTTTTGTTTGCATCCCATCGCATCATACATCTTTTATTTATTTATTAGTTGTACTAATGTGATTGGTTTATGTGTTTCAAATTTCTAACCTTGTTTTGGTTTGATAGTTTTTGGATCGAGGAAAAGGATTCTGAGTTTCCCTCACACACACTATAACTGTTCGATATTTAGAGCCTTCTAACTTTGATCCGTCCCATTAGATACGGGTGAACACTACGCTTATGTGAGAAAAATTATTTTTCTCCACATGGGCTTTAGCAAGTAACCTCTGGTGTGTATATGCCTAATGTTTATGAGCGGAACATTGAGTGTCCTTGCATGAACATGGGGAAATGCATCCTCTCGAATTGAACTTGATCTGTTTAAGCCTATAATGAGTGAGGATCGAGAGTTTGGCAGGCCCAAGTGGGCACCAGCAAAGGATAATTCGAGGACCATGTTAGTAGTACCAAATTTCTGCCAGTTTCATACTGAATTTCTGTATGTAGTTCTTTAAAAATCACGAAGGGGAAACTTACTCTAACCTTTTCCTCTAATATATTTATTTATTTTGCAAAAATCATGAGAACCAGAAAATTATGCGTTTAGGTTTTATATTTCCGTACGAAGCCTGTGAAA